GCCATATGTACTCAAATTTGTTTGTCTGCTAAATGCTAATAGTCAAAATAGATTTTTTAAAAGAATATAATAATCTGCAATTTTGCATATGTCTAGAACTCAAGATAAGGCTTTTGCTCTCTTGGTTTGCTTTGATTCTTCCCCAACTTTTGATGTGTTTAATACAGTTTATTCATCATGATAAGCTACTCGTGATAAGCATCAAATTGATATGGGGAATGACTTCACTTGAGAATGAACTTCTAATCATTTTGTTTGAACTCTAAATTATTTGGTATTTTGATTAATGTGCTTGAATGGTTCATTTGGGACATGATGATGTTTAAAATTTTTTGCTATGTTTACTTTTTTGTTGTTGTTTTGAATGATTTTTTTTCTATGTTTTGAAAAAATGCATTGATCACTTCATCTCTGAATGCAAAATTTACAATTTTTAAATACGCCTCTTAACCCGTTGGGTCAACCCGAACCCGATAGCTCTGGGTCATGAACAAGCATCCTTAGACCCGAACCCGAAGTGACCCGAACCCGTTGTGACCGAACCCGAACCCGACCTGACCGACCGTTTTGCCAGGTCTATGTGTAGTATACTGCCTAGCAGGGGGGATGGGGGGCAAGGGTGGGGCTGGGGTGGGGGGTTTAAGGGAAGTGTTAGGGGGGTAGGAATCGTCATTTTTACAAACGGAGCACCGTAGGTACCCCAAACGAACTGTTGTAAGCCACTGGTGTATTAGTAACTGGTGTATTACTAAACCCCCCAGCCCAGCCCCCCTAACCCTCCCCCCAAATCGAGTGGTGCCCACACCAAAGTAGAAGAATAGAAGAAGATCTGAAAAAGATGAAGAAGATTTGAAGAAGAAATGAAAAAAGAAGTGATGACGACGATGGCAGGCGACTGGACCAAATCGGAAGGGTGGGGGGGGGAAGAAAAGAAAGAAAGAAAGAAAGAAGAAGATAGATGATGAAAAATAGATAGGTGGAACAAACGAGAAGGGTGAGAAGAAAAGAGGGAGGAAGAAGCAAAGAAGAGCAATAAGAAAAGAAGAGAAGAAGAAGGGGAAGAAGAAAAAACGAAAAGAGAAAGAAGAATGAGAGATGAAAATTGAGGAAGGAGAGATGAAAATTGGGAAGCTTCTGGAGAAGAGAAGATGGAGAAGGAAGGAGAAAAGAAAAGAAAGAGAAAGGGGGCTGCAGCTCTGAGGAAGGAGGAAAGAAAGAAATTGAAAATTTAGGGTACTTAGCTTAATTTCTTTTAACTCAGAAAATTTAGCAAAAAAGGAAACAAGAAGATTATTTGTGGATCAATCAAAAAATTTAGGGTACTTAGCTTAATTTCTTTTATTCATAATTTTTGTATGTAAGTCAATACTTGTCAAATACTATACTGTTGAAAATATTTGCACGACCTCTATCCAATGACATCAATATTATATACAAGTATATAATTATAGAATTATATCTTGTCTTTTATTTTTCTTTCAAACACTTCTTAGTTGAATGAGTTATGTTTTATCATTATATTTCTTGAATGAAACATATTTGAATATTAAATTAGTTCAATCTTTTTTTCCTTTTAAATTAAACTAATTTATGTTTTTTGTTATGGTATAAAAGTAAAGCGTATATGTAAAACTCAAAACAGAATTAGTGTTATTTGTAATGCATTTTAATGATTTTTCATCATTGGTGGTAGAGTTGTTCAATAAATTATTTTCTATTATTATTAATACAATTATTAATATTATTTATTTTTTTCTTATTTTCTTGATTGTATAAAAATAAAACAAATAAAGTAGGAAAAAAAATTGAACAAATTCTATATAAAAATGGAAATTTTTAAAAGAGATTTAAAACTAAACATTAAAAGAATATGAGATAGAAAAAATACCAAGTAAATTTTTGCTGTTATTTTAAAAGATAGAATTTAACATGAGTAGAAATATGTAAATATTAAATAAAATTAAAAAATCAATCATTGCAGTGGAAGTGAGACATTACATACGAGTGTGAATTGAGTTAAATAGTGAGTGTAACCAGTGCTAATATAGCATTGGGAGTTTCATTTCAATTGATAACTTTTCCTGATTTGTATATAATTAGAAATGTTTCTCTTTATTATGTTAGTTGATAATGTAGTCTCAAAGTATAAAGTTGGATTTGGATGTTGACATGGTATCTTAGATTAATTTTATCTCATTATTGAATAATGATGCAATTTTTTATTAAAGTTAATTTTAATTCAATTTGTTTGGGAAATTGATATTGAATTAAAAAATACTCGGAGTAAAACTTTATATATTTAAGACTTAAAACATATTTCTATAAAAAGGTGACACACCTATTTTATTCTTTAACAAAAAAGGAGAAAAATAGATAAAATTTAACTGTATGAATAGTGAATAGGAATTTCATTTTAGCCCCAAAGAAATATCATTCAATGTTATACGTTAAAGAACTAGAGTCATTGAAGTTTGTTAGAGTATATAATCCTTCCTGTGTCAACAATCACAACTTTGAGTATTATATTGAGAATCAGTGTTTATTGAAGATTTGAAATACATGTAGGCAAAATCTTAGAGAAGTATTTAATTTAGATTTTTAAAGATTATGAGATATATCATAATCCGTGAATAACATAAAATTAATGAATTATTTTAATTTTATTTGCAATTAAATTGATATTGATGTAGTTTATGAATTCGATTTGTATAGATTCCAAAAAGTCTATAGATTGTTCTAAATCCCATGATTGTAAAAAATCAATAACTTATTACAAAGTTCATTAAAATAACTAAAAATAATTATTCGTATAGATAAAAAGAAACACATTGAAATAGAAATGGAGCATGTAGAGGCATTGAGCACATTCGAAAGGATGATAGATCAACCCCACTTTAGTCGCCTTTTTTAAAAATAAAAAAAAAAGCAACCAAAGTTATGATTCTCCGATGAATACATATAAAATTATTTTTATTATAAACTGGTATATAAATATAAATATAAATTACATTGTTTAGAAATATATAAAAAATTCTATAAAATAAGAAGTGACAAAAAGATGACAATCGTGTTAACGATCTGTGTAATTGAATATAGTTAATTATTACAAGACTTGGTAACCGTCTCTCGGAAGCAAAATAGGTTCACTGAAAAAATGTAGGTTAAGCTTTTTTGATCCTGCGAGTTTCATTAACTCCTTCAAATACGAGATTTCTATTTAAGTTTCAAATAAGACAATTTACTATTATGGTATCGTATGCGATTACCATAACCAAAAGTCAAGGACAATCTTTCTCATGTTGGCATGTTCTTGAAAGAATCGGTGTTCAGTCACAGACAGTTGTATGTGGCGATGTCTAGGATACGCTCCCACGCTGTTTAAAAATAATGATATGTAATTTTGAAAATACTCCAGCTAACACACAGTTTACTATCTTTCATTCTCACCTTATCTAATTATCGTTCATTCTCATATTATCTATTGAACATAATACTACTCCCTCCGTTCCAAATTATTTGTCACATTTGCTTTTTCAACAGTCGCGGGAACTTTTGTTTATTTCTACGTTTTTATTAGTTATTTGATAAAATAAAATATTCTTGACGTCTCTTATTTCGAAAAATTTTTCATGTAGTTTTTTGATATATAATTTTTATTTTTTTCTTTACCAATATGTAAATAAAATGAATTGAAAAAACTTGATATTTTGCCTCGGTAATAGAAATGTGACAAATAATTTGGGACGGAGGGAGTATAAAATACTCTCATTTATGTTTTGTATGTGTATGTAAATTAAATAGAAAAGAAAATATTTATAAATTGAAGTACATACATATATACTATTTATAAAATAATATCCAATAATTTAAAATAGAAAATATTTTTGGATAAAGTTTTTTTCTGGCTAAATTGATGGTAGTAATCAAACTACAATCAATAAGTCACTTATCTAACTAAAACCAATTAACTACTACCTCCGTTTCTCAAAAGAGTTCCTCTTTTGACTTTGGGGGAAAATAAGGAAGTGTTAAATTGTAGTTGACTTTCCAATTTTGCCCTTGATGTGATGGGTAAAAGTAAGATGTGATAGTTTAGTTGTTAGTGGAAAAGTATGATGTGATAGGTATGGTATGAAAAAGTAGGGATAAAAATGGTTTTTTAATTGAAAAAGGAAGTGTTTTAAGAAAAACAAAAAAAATGAAATAAGAAGAGTTTTAAAAAAAGGAGGGAGTATCAAATGTTTGATAAGTGGGGACCAGGCAAAAAATTCCACTTCCACACTCATAGTTTCAGCTGACTTGAGCTGAACAAAAGAAAGTGAAAAAACTCCGTTGTCCGTTAAAATCGTAATTCACGCCATCGGTAATCGTCCCCCCTCCTCCGGCGCTTCCCTTCCGACGCACAATCTCTACGACACCGCCGGCTGTCCCTATATTCTACAATGTGCGAATAGTATACAAAATGAAATGATATTTGAATCAATTCCATCATTAGGTTTAGTTTAATACTCTGTAATCGCTTATATTTGATGTTTGTTTGATTTTTTGTTTCTAGATTAATACTCCCTCCGTTTCTTAAAACCCTTCCTCTTTCATTTTTTTTGTTTTTCTTAAAACACTTCCCCTTGCTATTAAAAAACCACTTTTACCCCTACTTTTTCATACCCTACCTATCACATCATTTTCACTGACAACTAAACTATCACATCTTACTTTTACCCATCACATCAAGGGCAAAATTGGAAAGTCAACTACAATTTAACACTTCCTTATTTTCCCCCAAAGTCAAAAGAGGAACTCTTTTGAGAAACGGAGGTAGTAGTTAATTGGTTTTAGTTAGATAAGTGACTTATTGATTGTAGTTTGATTACTACCATCAATTTAGCCCGTTACCTAAAAAAATGGTTTTTTTAGTGCTAAAAAATGTTATTATTGATTCAGTTCTATTGTGATTCTTATGATGTGTTGCTCTGTTATGGATTGCTTAAGAGTTTGTTTCAGAAACAATGTGTTTTCTATCATTGAATGTCACACACACAAAACTATGTATGCATATGTCATTTTAACAATATTTATCTTTTGTGTTGTGTGTGCGAAATGGTTAGGTTTTATGTTGCCGTGTTCATGCATCGTGGACTTCTCAACACCAGAAGTCACTTCTGGTGTTTTGATTTTTATAAATGAAAAAACAGAACCAAACAAAACCTAGTTCTTAGTCTTCTGTAAATTTTTAACCTGCTGGTCGGTGTTGTTCTTTCCCACCCGTAGCCAGACTACATTTTTTGTGGCTGAGCATATCCTCATCGCCTACACGTTCTGCATCTAGTATTTTCTCATTTTGTCCTCTTGCATTAATGTTGTAAAGGATTATTCAAAATATGCAAAACAAAGACAACAAAGGTACTCCCTTCGTCCCATTATTTTTGGGACAAGGATGGAGTGACACAGAAATTAAAAAACTAAAAAAAGTAAGATTATCTTGTTGATATTGATGTTAAAAAATAAGATAAAGTTAGAATGAATATGAGGTATGAACTACACAAGTATGATTTAATATGGTATGAGACAAGCATTTGTGAAAAGGTAAATTCTTTGGTGGACCTAAGGTGGGTAGGCGGTTTGGGCTTGGTGGTAGTTTTCGCACTTGTTGTTGTGTGCTTTTTATGCTTGGTGCTTTCTGCTTGTTGTGCTTTCCCTTCGTTAATATTTAGTGCTTTCTTTGCTTCTTTGTGCTCTGTGCTTTCTCTGCCTTGTGTTTCTTCTGATTTAAGGGTCTCTTGGAAATGGCTTCCCTACTTTAGAGTAGGGGTAAGGTTTGTGTACACATTTCCGCCAGACCCTACTTCCGTGGGATTCATTAGGTTGTTGTTGTGATAAGTATTTATTTAATTTATTTTGATAAGCATTTATTTAATTTAATTTATTTAGGCGAGAAGGTGCCATGGAGAAGCACTAAAACTCCGTTTTCCCGAGCGAACAAAAATTGTTTCACTTGTTTACCAGCAGTTGTTTACTGTCGCACATTAAACCTCCCGCCATTACTAATTCGGAGTTCTCAAACAGTGAAAGTGCAGGGTCAAGGGATTTTCAGGCCTGTATTTGGCTCCATCTGCAGTGCTTTTCAACTTTTCTTTTCATAGAGATTTTCATATGCAGTCACATTTGGTCAATATTACTTCAAAAATAAGTGTTCTTGGTAGGAATGGCCAGATCGTACATGCTAGGAAGCTGTTCGATGAAATGCTTCTGAAAGATATAGTAGCTTGGAACACAATGCTCAGCAGCTATTCCCACTTGGGTCTTCACCAAGAAGCATTCTCTTTGTTCAATAACTTGAGATGCGGCATAGTTCAGCCAGATCACTACACATTTACGTCAATGCTTAGTGCATGTGCAGGCTCTAGTGAGCTTAAATATGGGAAGAAAATCCACGCGCTTTTAATTGTTTATGGTTACAATGCATGTTTGCCGATCAATAATGCTCTAATTGATATGTATGGGAAATGTTTCAGGCCTTATGATGCAAATAGAGTGTTTGAAGAGATGGGAGTCACTAATGAAGTCTCATGGTGTTCATTATTGTTTGCATATGTTAATGTGAATAATTTAGACGTAGCAACTGATGTTTTCAAGGCAATGCCAAAGAAAGGGCTGATTGCTTTTAATACTATGATTGCGGGGCATGCTAGACGGGGTGAAGTTGGTTCATCATTCAGCCTTTTCAAAGACATGATTGACGAGCCATGCCCTCCAGACCAATGGACACTGAGTGCTCTAATGACTGCTTGTGCTGAATCAAGACAACACTATCTTGGTTGTATGCTGCACACTTACATTCTGAAAAGCGGTTGGAGTTCTACAAGTGAGGCAAACAATTCAACTCTCAGCTTCTATGCCAGTGTGAATCAGCATGGTGATGTTCTGAAGTTGGTTCAAGGCACTGATATTCTAAACCAAGTGTCATGGAATGCTATAATTGATGCTCACATGAAGGGGGGCAACATATGTGAGGCATTCACTGCGTTCACTCAGGCACCTTTGAAGAATCTTGTTTCATGGACATCTATGATTGCTGGGTGTGCTCGAAATGGGCATGAAGAACAAGCAATTGGCTTCTTCGTTGATATGACAAGAAATGGTATCAAGCCTGATAAGTACACATTTGGAGCTGTCTTGCATGCTTGTTCTACCTTGGCTGCGCTAAATCATGGTAAAATGGTCCATGGTTGTGGATTTAAAGGTGGCTTCATTACCCATAATTATGTCGGAAATAACTTGGTTAATATGTATGCAAAATGTGGGGATATAAAAGATTCACATGGTGCTTTTTGTGAGATTTATGAGAAGGATTTGGTGTCATGGAATACCATGTTATTTGCATATGGACTGCATGGATGGTCTATGCAAGCTTTCCATCTTCTTGAAGAAATGCTGGCAGCTGCGGTGAAACCAGATAAAACCACCTTTATAGGTTTGTTGATGAGCTGTAGCCACTCAGGGCTTGTAGATAACGGCAGGGCTTTGTTCGAGTCAATGGCAGGTGTTTATAATATTCCACCTGGAGTCGATCATGTGACTTGCCTTGTTGATATATTAGGCCGTGGGGGGTACATGGAGGAAGCAAGAAGGATTGCTAACGAGTACCTTGTAAAAAATAGCACAATGCTACCACAAGAAGTTCTATTTGGAGCTTGCTCGTCTCAAAACAACACAGAATTGGGAGTGGAGTTAGGAAACCTTCTGAAAAGTTCAGAGCCCCGAAATGAGACGAGCTATGTCTTATTGTCAAACCTCTATTGTGCAAGTGGGCAGTGGAAAGAAGCAGAGATGGTCAGGCAAGCAATGGTGGATAAAGGGGTCATGAAGACCCCTGGTTTTAGCAGGATTGAAGTGCAAAAACAAGTGAAAATTTTTGTTGCCGGAAGAGAGTCGATACTATGGATGGAAAAAGTGGACGAGCTCTTGTTCATCCTTAATTCTGAGATGAGATACCCACATTATGTTCATGGCTCGGGTTCAATTACCTGATACTACTCTTCTAATGCTAGCAAAATACTCCTACCTGTCCCAAAATCATATCCCACATGCAAATTTTTGTTGCCCCAGAATCCTCTTCCTATTACCATTTTTTGGAAAGTTTGGAGAAGTGAAAAGTCACTTTCACCCCTCAACTACGCAACCTAATTACTTCATCAAAACATATTAAACGGTCACTTAAAGACCCTTGCAGCCAACAACTAGACCGCCATTCCCCTCCTTCCTGTGGTTTTCTAGTTCAGAACATTTATCTCAATGTGATGTTGATTAGTAATCACAGCTAGGTGTTTATACAGGCAAGTTCTTGAGGGACACTGTTTGAAAAACTTTTTAGAAACTAAAAACAGTGGGTTTTTCTCTAAAAATAATGAAGCTTTAGAGACGGGTTTTCTAAATTCTCCACTCTTGTTCTCACAACAATTAGGTGTTATATACTCTTGGTGCATTAGATATTTGGACAGTTTTGGTCCTCCTAGCCAGCTTACCTGACAAAATAAACCCAAAATTGTATTCGGTTGTATCTGGCTGTAAATCATGGAAAACATTGATGCTTGAACTGTAGAATCTACCAGAATATGATTTGTTGTAATTCCCGTGACAGTTCCCAGTTAGTTTTTGTCGAGTATGTACTATGTACCCGAAGTGATCAGAAGTAACAAAAGCTACCTAGTTTCAGCCACATCTTGTTCGGACACTTGAACATGTCTGTTTTATTTGTTGCAGAATATGCGTGTATGCATATGTGTAGAATTCACTGCTTTCACTTAGGCACCCATGAAGAATCTTGTTTGATGGACATTTATGTTTGCAGGGTGTACTAGAAATGGGCATGAAGAAGAAGCAATTAACTTGGTTGATATGACAAGAAATTGCATCAAGCCTGATGAGTTTACATTGGCTGTACTAAATCATGGTAAAATGGTCCATGGTTGTTGATTTAAAGGCGGCTTCGTTACACGTAATAATGTTGGAATTAACTTGATTGAAATGTATGCTAAATGTGGGGAGATAAAAGATTCACACACTGCTTTGTCTGAGTTTTTTGAGAAGGATTCGGTGTCATGGATTACCATGTTATTCACATATTGCTGCATGGATGGTCTATGATTAAGTGTCTTGCTTAATGTGCAGTGCCAGAGGAGTCATAATAATTCAAAACATCACATTGAACTTCTTTAGGATCTTCAATGAAGTTTCGGATATTAAAAGCAATAATATACTTCCTCTGGTCCTAAAAATATTTTATATTTTGATTTTTTTGTCAAACAGTGACATTCTTTTACTACAAATTAAAGATAATTTAAATAAATAAATGATATATCAAAACTATATCATAAGATGAATTCAATTATATTAAATTTATATTATGATTAAATGTACTTTTCTCACAATTTATGGTCAAAGGGTGTCACTGTTTGACATAAAAATCAAAACAGGAAAAGTTTTTAGGATCGGAGGGAGTATTAAGGGTCAAAATAAAATATCCTGATTTAAATTATTTGACCTATAGTGAACCTGACATTTTCATGATAATTCAAACTATATCAATCAGCTGTAGAGTTTAAAAGAAAATGCTGGATAGAATAATTACCTCCACTATATCTCAAGTGGTCACAAATAGTATACTCTCTTTGACTTTATTTATCCAGATTTGCAATAGGCTGAAGTTTTTTAAAGGAAATACTATAGTCAAATAATTTATAAAGACACTGATTTCATGTATAAACAGGCATTAGGATGACTCAAATATCTTATCATTTCTGTTGGGACTTAACATTGTTACAAAACAGTGTTATCTACATTTATAGATTGACTATTCTATTTTAAAATATATAGTACATAATTTTTTCTTTTGTACTTTGTCGAGCATAATCTTCCACTTTAAGACTCTGTACATGGTTGTGGATTTTTGATGTTAGGTTGGAGTTGATCTTACTAGGTTTCATTTATATTTTTATGATGATGTTTGTAACTGCAAATGTCAATTGAAGTATGTCTAGGTATTGTGCATTATACATTAGGTAGTAAATCTTCTCTCTTGATTACTTAGTATTGATTCGTTTCTAATTTAGTATAATTTCATACTTTCTCAACCGAATACCTAATGACTAATGACGTACACTAAGCTAATGCCATTCATTTCCGTTGGGACTTGAACATGGGTAAGCTGCCCCATTCATCTTGAGTCATTGGCATGACACAAATATGTTATCAACAGATGTTTTTTAAGGAAAGACTATACTCCATTAAGTTATAACCCCGTCTGATTCAATGTATAACCCCTCTGGTGTTATTCGCGGAAATTTTCAAAGCTTATCTAGGATTAAAGACATTCATGGAAATAAAAAATATTCAACTCTTTGCTCCTTTGCAGTGTCTGAACTCCTCTGCCGTTAATTTTTTTCCCTTGCAGAATGTTATAAACAGAAAAAATAACCCTGTTTGATTCAATATATAACCCCTCTGGTGTTTATTGCTCAAATTTTTTCAAAGCTTATCTAGGTTTATAGACATTCATGAAAATAAAAAAAATTCAACTCTCTACTCCTCTGCATTGTCTGAACTCCTCTACCATTAATCTTTTTTGCCGTGCAGTATGTTATAAATAGAAAAAATAACATTGTGAAATGTAACATTGGTTCTTGCTTTTGGTGTACTTACTAATGGTTATTATAATTGTTCATACAGAATCTGTCGGGTGGAGACATACAACCGGATGTCTTTAATAGACTCTTGATAGATAAATCGTATCTTTTTAAAGTTGAAGTTAGGCGTGCACACTTCAATGACTTTGATCATACCTATAATGTCATTGACATTTGTTTTGATGAAAGAACAATCTCGCAATTCAAGGAAAGGAACTCAACATTTTTCTTGGTCCAGGTTTGATTTAATTATTAATGGAATATAAATATCACTTAGTGAAAATTTTGTTATTTATAAATAAGACATAGATTTTAAGATGCTAATAAAATGCTATTTTGGTAATTTATTGGTAATAGACTGATGTGACTTTGGGACTTTTAACTAGGGAAAAATCATCACAGCATACCTTCTTTATGGACGATGCATCATCATGTGTAAAGGTTAGGACTCTCAAAAAACTGCACAAGTAAATTAACCTTTGCTCAATTTTTTATCTTCTTGGCATGGCATATGTGTATGTTGATAGGAATAAGTTCATACTACCACCACTCATTTGCTCAATTTAGGAAAATACATACACAAATGAATGCTTTGTACTGTATAGAAATATTCCAAACTAAAATTGGAGTGTCTCCCAAATTGCCCAAAGAAATAAACCATCCTCAAATGGAGGTCACATTTTAGCACTAGCCTTTCTAATTGTTAATGTATCTTGCATAAAATTTTTGGTGCTTTGTCTTACAAAATTTGATTGAAGATTTTGTGGAATCAAAGGATAATCAATTTGAACGACTTGGAGATGATATCACCGACTCTACTATTGATAAAAGAATGAAAGAGGTTGAAACTGACTATGCAGACGGTCATGAAGCAAGCAAGAAGATGAAGACCGTTAAGATTAAGAAAATTTAAGACTATAACTATTATGTTAGCTTGAGTCATATTCAGTTCTTTGGATTTGATTTATGTGTTAGCTTGAGTCATTCTTGGATGCTTTGTTATTTGATTTTAAAAATTTAAAATTTTGTGGCATTTAGTTTTTAAAATAAGATTGCATGTTTGAATAATTTATACTCCATTCAATGTCCTTACACTCATATTGTTTCGCCATGTTTCGTATAGAATTAGATCTCATGTTAGCGGGCTTTGCCCGAATGTTGATTCGCACCACCTCTCCCCTTCTGGATCATTAGATGCATGTTTCTTCTACTGCAATAAATCAAAAGTGTTAGCAAATTAACAAAAAATAACCATTTTTTTAAATGTTCATAGCCATACTCCTTCTGAATGGGACACATACTTAGGTGTGTTTGGTTTATGCTTATCAATGCCAATATGGGTGCTGCTTCAATTAAGCCTATTGAAATATCTTTACAAAAGAGAATCACAATAAGGAATCAACACTGCCCATGCAAGTGCACAGATGAAAATCAAGATTTTTTCTTTTATGAATTCATGTTAAGGCTCGGTTTGGTACACAAAATTCAGACTACAAAATTGGGATTGAGACAACAATTTCAATTCTGCAATTTGATAGCACAAAAATATGTGAATTTGGAATTGGTAATGACAAAAACGAATTGTAATTGTAATTGGAGAATTCAATTCCATCCAAAACAATTCCAAAATTTATTTCGCCATGTTTCTTATAATATCAATTAGGAAAGTAATATTTTAAATAAAATGTGACATTATGATTTATTTCACCTTTGCAGACATTACTTATGATTGACCATTTCAATACAGTGTTATACGTATTCATGATGTAAATGTATGCAAATTAAGAAAACAAAGTTACCCGTAAATCAAAAAATTTGGATTTAATTAATACATTTATACGTTCATTTTCAATTTTATATCGCATTAATTTTAGTTATCATACTATGTTTGTGTTGTATCATTCATTAAAATTCTAACATTCTATATTATATTTAGCTTCATTTTTTAATTATTTACTTAAAACAAAAAATTAATAGACTTAAAAATAACATGTGTTTGAACCCGTGCGTTGCACGGGTTAAATACTAGTTTAACAAAATTGGAGTGCATTTATCAATTCTGGTTTTTGATATTGCGATGTTAGAAAATTTAATTCACAAAGTACAAATTTGATGGGGTTGACCGGAGCCTCCAAAGAGAATACATAGTAGACATTTGATGGAATTCCTTGTAACAATGGTAAAATAAACCTATTTAGTAAAAAAAATAGAGTAACACTAGCAAATATGTGTACAGAATAGTATCCAATACTATACAACAACAAAAAAGAAAACAACATACATATATTATGAATGTTCGAATATTCTTTTAAAATTTGTTAATTATTCAAAAATTAATCAAATATCAATTCAAATCTTATATGTATATATTGTTCCATATTCGAATTTGAATTCATATTCCTTAAAGTTAAACAAATACAAATTCAAATGCTCAGTATTCGATTTGATCCGGTTTGTTTTATCGTGATGGCATCCTGATACGTGTGTATGTGTATTGTCTATATCTTTTTATCATATGAAGTTATCGTAGAATATTACTTTGTAAAAATTATAAAAAATAAAAAAATAATTACTTCGTATCAAATTACAATTGAATAAATAATATTTTAAATTTAGTTTAATTAGAAATTAAAACATTATTCAATTTGACTTTAAAAATTAGAATTGGATAAAAATATATTCTATATCTGACCTATATCCAACCGAGCGGATATCTCTTGTACTGGTGTTTTGAACTTTTGATTGAAACCCTATTCCCACTTTCGAACTCAGAGTTTCAGCAGACTGAGTTAGAATTGTGGAAGATAAAGGAGAAAAAACTCAGCTGCTTCCTCCTCCGCTTCAGCTCATCGTGATCTCCTTTGGGTACACGCCATCGGTAAGCATGTCTTGTTCGTTTACTCCCTCTCCCCGCGTCTGTTTGGCATTTTTATTCGTCCTTCCAGTCCTCCCATCCAGGCGCTTAGTCGCCACGAAACCGCTGGCTGTCCATATATTCTACAGCCCGCAAATAGTCTACAAAATCATGATATTTGAATCAATTTGATTTTTGACTTCAGTTTAATACTCTTCAATTGCTTATATTTGATGTTTGATAATGTAGACTCCCCTCCCTTTCTTTTGACACATTTTTTCTGATATTAGTTGATTGTTTTTAGGCTAATAGTTGATTGGTTTCATTTGGATAATTGAATTATTGATTGTAGTTTGATTATTAATTTAGCTTGATACCTTAAAAATGTTTTTTTTTGATTTAGTTAAAATTGTGGTTCATTTGAATTTTGATGTGTTACTGTGTTGTGGATTGCTAATGAGTTTATTTTAGAAAAAGGTCATGTTCTTTATCATTGAATGTCACACACATCTATGTATATGTGTGTGTATTTAAAGATATGTTTTTTGTATTGTGTATGCTAAAGCGTGGGATGTTGTGTTGCTGTGTGTGCATTTAAAAATATTTTTTTTGCATCGTGTATGCTAAATGTGGGATGTTGTGCTGCTGTGTTCATGCTTCCTAGACTTCTAGTGTTTTGGTTTTAAAAAATGAAAAAAAATGAAAAAAGAGACAATTCTATAAATAGTCCTTTATAACATGGGGTTTTCCATATAAGTTCTCAACTGTTAGGTATTACAGAGTATGTTCGTGGTCCTCTATATATGAATCTATTCCATGATCAGTCCTTTGGACCCAAATATTGTTTTCCTTTTATAGTCCACAAAGGACTAATTATGGAACAGTTCTCAAATTTAAATGACCACCAACATATAATCTTAGAATTGAGGACTATTTATGGAAAGTCCTCTTTTATAAAGGACTATTTTTAGAATTTGCTAAAAAACCTAGTTCTTTGTCTTCTGTAAATTACTAGCCTGCTAGATGGTGTTGTTCTTCGTCACTCGTAGCTAGACTACATTTTTCATTGCTGCACATATCGTCATCGCCTATGCATTCTACTTCTAGTAATTTCTCATTCGTCCTCTTGCATTAATCTTGCAAAGGATTATTTAGAACGTCCAACCAAAAGACAGCAAAAGTACTCCCTCCGCCCCTCTAATTTTGGGACATGGAGGAGCAGCACGGAAATTTAGAAAAGTAAGATCGTATGGTTGATATTCATGTTAAAGAATAAGATAAAGTTAGAATGGATGTGAATTACACAAGTATGACGAAAGTAGTATGGGACAAAAATAGTAGACAAACAAGAAAGGTAAAAAGGGACAAAATAGGACAGAGGGAGTATATAAAAAAACCATTTCATCTTTAGTTTTTCTTTCATTCAACATTATTTTACTGATATGCATTTTGGGTGCAAGTGCTTGAAATGTGTAAAGCAGAAAAATGTTGATAATTAGTGTTACCGAGAAACAAATTAAAGATTACCTGATGATTCCTGATGTGTATTAATACTGGAAACTGACTTTAAATTATATATGTGACTATGTGTATAATGTTTGTTGAATCATGTTGTTAGTTTGATGTCTTAACTTCATGAAAATGAGGTTCTTAGTTTATTTTATGATATTGTAATTTGGTATTATAAAGATTGTATTTTTACTTTTCTATTTAGTTTATGATTCTTGGCATAAGCATATGTTAAGTTTTTATGGAATTTATTTATGTAATACTCCTTCCGTCCCAAATTAATAGTCATTGTTTGACTTTGCACGAAGTTTAAGAAAAGTGAAATTGTGTGGTTGAAAGTGATGTAGAGGAGAGAGAAAAAAGGTGAGCCACAAAAAGCTTTCCAAGAAAAGAAAGTGGAAGATTAATTTGGGACTTCCCAAAAAGAAACAAGGAGGATTAGTTTGGGATGGAAGGAGTATAAAATATAAATATATATTATTTTTGTGTTGTGACTGTTGTGTCTCATGCTTTTGCAATAGGTTAACTTTCCATTTTGCGTGTGGTACATAATATATGTTCAAATTAGCCATGTTTCTACTCTTCCTAATTTGGGTGGCTCACTGGATTGCATTTCATTATTCAATGATCAATTTTATGTCGATTTTTACTTAGATATTATTTTAAAACTATAATTTTCAGTTTGTATTAGAGATTTAGAAGTAAATTATCTCTTAGGCCTGTTTGGAAAGATGTTAGGTCTGCTCTTCCAGAATTGAATTGAATTCATATGTTTGATATTCTTTTTGATATTGGAATTAAATTCCCATGACTCCATGATAGTAGAATTCCATTAAAAGCAAAGAATACAATTCTCATCCCCACCCTGTGGAAGGGTGTTGCAGTGTTTGTAAATTCAATCTTTAACTTTTTCATTTAAATCTGAAACAGTATTTTAAATGAAGTCTTCCATGTTATAATTAAAATGGAATGCACATTTTCAAAAATCAATCTCTATCTTTTAAAAATTAAACTGAATCAATTTTTAACCGAATCGGTTTAACTCTTGTTTAACTTATTCTCTGATTTTTTAATGCAATTCTTAACCATTTTTTAGTACTGAATCTGCTTTTTAAAAACATTTTCCTTTTTTTTATTTTATCATAGAACTGGTTCTAAAATAAAGTATCTGAATTAGCAGTATTTTAAAACTGCATTGGTTGTTTTTTGAATAACTTATTATGTAATTCTTAATTCCAACTTGTAATTAGCCTGATTTTAAATAACTTTAACTTTTAAAAAATGGAGGAAATTTTGCAGAAAAGCTACATCAAAATATTTGAGGGGCATTAACGTCCAAATGTGTAGCATGTTTAGTCATATACTCCCTTTGCCCCCAAAGAGAGTTATAGTTTCCTTTTTGGATTGTGTCAAAAATAAACTTCATGCTTCTTTACTTTCCTATGAAAGGAACATATATGTGGTTCACATAATTTTTTTTTCTTCTAAATAAATTTCAACAGCACATTTTCACTTTCCAATGAGTTTCTTAAACTCCGGGAAGTCAAAGGGTAACCTTCTTATGAGAACAATGGGAGTAAGAAACAACTGGAGTGAAGTTAGCCTTTGCAGTTGCCTAGCCTTCTATGGGTTTGTGGCTAGCATCACCCCTTCAGAATTGCTAGTCTCGATAGAATTCAGAATCAGATTGGAGTTTTCTATAAAACCCTTGTCTAATTGAAAATGTTTTGATTCTCGTCCCTATTATCGAACATATCCATTTCACTAGATCTTTTCATTGCCTTCTTTCCAATCAGAGACACCTCAGCCGTTCCTGTGAGTGACTTCTACCTTTTTTACATATCAGTTTTTCCCTCAAAAATCAATTCTTTGTCAAAGACAAGAAACCCTATACCGGAAAAAGTTTGCTTTTATCTATGCATTTTTTTATCAAATACTATTTTTGAATTTTATCCAACTTCTATGATGCTAGAAACTTCTTAATTTTTTAATCAAGTCCAATTTAAAATCTGTTTTTAAATGCAATCCAATTTCTCGTACATGTAATTTAAAATCTGTTTTTTCTTCAAATATTGTCGTTTGTGTATTTGCTTATAAACTAGATGATGCTATTTTCATGCTACTATATTCATTGTTACTGTGAGGACAGTTTGTAGACACAGCCTAATTATTGTTAGAGCGTGAACTCTGGTTTATTGAATTTTAAAGTACATATAGTTTCATTGTAGGTAAGCAATTAATTTATTTTAAGAAGGGCTATACCGAACATAGCTGTTTGTGCTGCCTTTTTAGCTAGTATGCAATTTATACGTTGGCATATGTATATTGGATGGCCAATCATCCATTCATGATGATATAATAGGGATCAAGATTTACTAAATGAATTAAGATTGCATATGAAATGTTCTGCAATTTCAATGAGTTAAGACGCTTTCACTCGCGTAGCTGCAATGTTTCGTCACAGAGGGTTTCTTAGAGATACCCAAATGTGTTATACTAGTCATTAACATGTTAGTTATTAAATCATGTACGTACATGGATGAAGCGCAAAAATGTCTTTAGAAATAATATATTTCATTCTAAACATTGGCATTTTATTTACTTACAGTTTATTTAAGTTGTGTTATTCATTAATTTATTCCAAACAATGGAATTATACTCCCTCCGTTCCGAATTCAAGTTCTACAATTTCAAAAAAATGTGAAATTGAGTGGTTGAGAGTTATGCAGGGGATAGACAAATGATGTGAACAATATACTTTGTAATTATTTCTTTTAAAGAAAAGTGGAACCTTATTTTTGGACAAACAAATAGGAAATGTGGATCCTTTTTGGATAGAGGCGGTGCTTGGAGTTCAATTGAATTCAATTTCATTTAGAATTCAACTCAATTCCCAACCACAATTTGTTTCCTAAGGCCTTGTAAATGTATATAGATATTGACTACTCAATTCAAATCTTCTAATTTGTTTGGGGTTCTTTGTGATGCTTCATTTGAAGCACTCTGTAATGCAGATCTTTGTGAAAACCTTAACCGGGAAGACAATCACTCTCGAAGTTGAGAGTAGTGACACCATCGACAATGTCAAGGCCAAGATTCAGGTGCCAATTTCATCTCTACCCTTTTCTCTTCATACAAAACTTTGAGTTTGTTGTTTTTTAATGGCTTTAGATTCCTATCTTATCATTCTTATTTTAAAAAAACCCATGAATGGGTCTGTTCATTCTGTTGTTATTCTGGCTCAAAACAAAACTTGATTGCTTGCTGTGCATTTGCCAAGTTTGATTATCAACACTGTTTGGTATATAACCTTTCCGTCTTTGTCTTATGAAACCGACTCCATGCTCTTGTGTTCTACTAAAGGCAAGACTGTAATTTGGATTTCTGTTGCTTATTTGAGCTTTAGCTGCTGCTTCGGGTTTAGTCTTTTATTGAGTGGAGCTAATGTCACAACATATTCTCAGAGGGACTTCCATGAATTGTTGTATTGAATATAAGACTCACATAAATTGACTAGTAGTACAGTATCATTTTACCTTTGTCGACATGTCTCGATATCCACAAACCTGTAGATGTTCATGTACATGTCAAGTAATATATGGGTGCAAGTTTTTTGGGTATTTCAACCTCCATGATGTTTCCATTCACACTTGGTAAACTAGTGTTGGTACCTGCTGCTGCAGTATTGCCCTTGGATTATGTGTATATGTTTAACTGCCAGGACAAAGAAGGCATCCCTCCGGACCAGCAAAGGTTGATTTTTGCTGGAAAGCAGTTGGAAGATGGAAGGACTCTGGCTGATTACAACATTCAGAAGGAATCGACACTTCACCTGGTTTTGAGACTTAGGGGAGGAACCATGATCAAGGTCAAGACTCTCACCGGAAAGGAGATTGAGATTGATATTGAACCAACTGACACGATTGATAGGATCAAGGAGCGAGTTGAAGAGAAGGAAGGTATCCCTCCGGTGCAACAAAGGTTCGTTTTCTGCAATTCTGCATCCCGTTTTTGTCTAATCATGAAAAATTTACTCAATCAAGTGGCATCTATCATATCCGAACTGTATACCGTAGTTATTAGTTATTACTTCCTCCATCCCTCTTTTGCAGGCTTATTTATGCTGGGAAGCAGCTTTCAGATGACAAAACAGCTAAAGAGTATAACATTGAGGGGGGCTCTGTTCTTCACCTTGTCCTAGCGCTGAGGGGCGGCCTTCTTTAGATGTTCCACTTTTGTTGGGATGGAAAAGGGTTTCTTTGATGTTTTACTTTGGGATAACATACCATATGATGACACTTTTTGGTTGGATGCTGCTTGTGCACTTGTACCCTCAAATCTAGGGGGTGGGCAAAGTAGTAAATTTCACCCTTTCCGTCCAAGTAAATTTCATCACGAACCAAATCGATTGTGCTTTCGAAATGGTACAGAACCGGTTTTGAAAATGAGAACCAAAAATTCCGAATTTTTCTTTATAACAATTAAAATATGGGTTGATATTGTATTTGTATGATGTGGTATCATGGTGTTGAATTATTCTAATCATAAAATCCAACAGTTTGAATAATAAAATGATCCAATGCGAGTTTTCTGTAAAAGATAATTCATTTACAGTAGCCATTGTTTCTATGTTGAGGTTCAACCATTATTACGATATAAGTCATGCCTCTCCTTCAGGCATACACACATATTTTCTATAATGTACATAATATAAATACCTTGGATTTGAAAAAAAAATCCGTATTATATTTCTCATTTTTTTGAAGCTATTATATTACTCATAAATGTTTAAACATTGGTAAAATATTCTGCATAAAAACTTTGGATCCAACATTTAGGACCCGTTTGACGAGATTTGAAATAAAAAATTGTTTTTTACAAAGGGTCGAGGGTGACCGTTGACCGGTGGGGCGGGTTGGTTAAGGTTTAGAGAAATATGAAATAATTGGACTTATACTTATATATATATCCCAAAATTGTAAACATGGTTGTAATATAACCTTTCTAGTTTAATTTGACATATATTAATTTGGTGGAATGCATGAGGTTGTGGTTTGTAATGGGGAAAGAGAAATGATTAGCACCATATCATTTTTAACTTAATAAGAAAGTGAAGAAATTTTTTAGGTCACTTAAAAGAGTAGAAAAGTGCGGAGTAGTCAAGAAAATAATTATGAGACAAAGGGATTATTCACAGTCCAAATTCATCAGCCCGAATGATTAATAATATTTATGATTACTATAATAATAACAAAATAATAATAAAAATATTAATATTGATAATAATAAAAACAACAATCCTATTTCAAATTATTATGAATACACATATACTTCTATGCACGAAAAGAGGGAATCATAAGTGCATTTAATAAAATGAATACACTACTCGAAAAAATGAATACTTACTCTGTCATAAAATGTTATTCTCAGTTGCTATTCACACAGTCATACATTAATCACTTTTTTTTACTTATTTTCTTTAGTTATTTGATAAAATAATATATTCTTGCCACCCCTTGTTTTGTACTCCGTAGAACTTTACATCTACAATCAAATAAATTGAATTGAAAATAAAGTCACTCAAATCTCGTATACAGAAATGAGAAAGACGTTTAGAACCGGAGAGAGTACATCTTTACTACTCCGTATCATAATTGATAATAATAATTTCAAATAAATAATACTCCGTAGTAACATTATCAAACAAAATACATTATATCACTTCTTTGATATACTCATCATAGTTGGTATATTAAACATCTAATACTCCCTCTGTCTCATATTGGATGCCACACTTCGAATAGTGCACAAAATCTTATCATTTTTAAGATAATTTTAATTACAAATTAGTATAGAAATAAAAGCTATAAATTACACCATTTAAAAGTACATAAAAAAACTCTATAAAACAAGAGGTGACAGATGTATTTTATTTTATCAAATAATCAATGAAAATATACAAATAAAAAAGTAATCGAAAGACCGTAATAGTGACAGTGGTATCCATTTTGGAACGGAGAGAGTATATAAATTCATTGCTTTATTTAAAAAATTATTTTTTAATTATTTAGAAGTTGTTGCCATGTGGATTGAGTGGTCCCGAAACCCGCGCATACCAATGTTAGCCGAGCTTAGATTTCAATTGTTAGGCCGCTAAACAACTGAGATCGAGCTCGAACCTAGAAAGTTCTTGTAATGTACTCCCTCCGTTCCACAAAACCCTTCCTTTTTCGTTTTTTTTTGCTTTCCACAAAACACTTCCACTTTCTATTTAAAAAAACCACTTTTACCCCTACTTTTTTCATACCCTACCTATCACATCATACTTTTTCACTAATAACCAAACTATCATATCTTACTTTTTGCCATCACATCAGGGCAAAATTGGAAAGTCAAAACCGGAAGGATTTTGTGGAACGAAGGAAGGAGGGAGTTATATTAGTAGGCCTGAACCCGGAGCTCGGGCCCGTACTTTGATAAAGTGTAAACGAACCCACTAGAAGAAGCCCATCGTATTACCGGAGAAGCCAATTGTTTGCGCCACAAGTTAATATTCTTACCTTTCTTATCCATCCTACGCCCTGCAAATCTTCTCTGCTTATATATATATATACACGACGACTCATTTCCTTCGTCGTCCTCCTCCATCATCCATCCATCGGAACCTCGACTTCTCCGTCGGTCTCTCGACTGAATTGAATCATTACCGTGTGAGTAATCTCTTCCGATCCGCTCCGATCTTCCTCAATCGCATGTTATCGTATTTGGATTGTGTTTGTATCTGCATTTCCCCGCTCCAATTGATTGATTTACTTGAGTTGCGCGCTGTGTTTAAAGGTCTCTGTAACCATGGCCGTCAAGAAGAGCGTGAGTTCCCTGAAGGAGGCAGATCTGAAGGGAAAGAGAGTCTTCGTCAGGGTGGATCTCAACGTTCCATTGGACGATAGCTTGAAAATCACCGATGACACCAGAGTCCGCGCCGCCGTCCCCACCATCAAGTACCTCATGGGATACGGAGCTCGTGTTATCCTCTCTTCTCATCTCGTGAGCTTCCAGTCGCTTTCAATTCTCTCTTCCCTTGTTTTATTCATCTCTTCTACTTCTTTGTGTGATTTGTTTCCGATGGCGGCACAATCTGTGTTCCTTGGTTATATATAATTTTCCATATCTGTGTACTGTTTGGATTTCTGAGATTTGCTATGAGCGATTGGTGCGCTTTGCTCTGATATTTTTATTGGGTTATTGGTTTTAGGGTCGCCCGAAAGGGGTCACACCAAAGTACAGCTTGAAACCTCTCGTGCCTAGATTGTCTGAACTCCTTGGCATTGAGGTTTGTTTTTTAGTTTCTCGATGGAAGTCCTTTCAAAATGATTTTTTGAAAAACATGATTTTCAAGGGCTCTTTTTGTTGCTTATCAATAGGTCAAGATGGCCAATGGTTGCATTGGTGAGGAAGTGGAGAAATTGGTTGCTCAAATCCCAGATGGTGGTGTTTTGCTTCTGGAAAATGTGAGATTCTACAAAGAGGAAGAGAAGAATGATCCCGAGTTTGCAAAGAAGCTTGCCTCCCTTGCAGATTTGTATGTTAACGATGCATTCGGAACTGCCCATAGAGCTCATGCTTCCACAGAGGGAGTTGCCAAGTTCTTGAAACCGGCTGTTGCTGGATTCCTTATGCAGAAGGTTGGTATTTTGAATGGGCTATTTCGGGAAGTTCTATTACTTCTATCAAATGACACTTTACTTATTTGCAATTATTATTATATGCCTTTAGGATGCGTTACCACATTATACTGAAATTACTTTATCTTCTACTGTTATGCCAGGAGCTTGACTATTTAGTTGGAGCTGTGACTAGCCCTAAGAAGCCATTTGCTGCCATTGTTGGTGGATCAAAAGTGTCCACTAAAATTGCTGTGATTGAGTCACTGTTGGAAAAGGTTGACTTGCTATTGCTGGGTGGAGGGATGATCTTCACTTTCTACAAGGCTCAAGGACACAATGTTGGGTCCTCTCTCCTGGAGGAGGACAAGCTTGACCTAGCCACTTCTCTCATTGAGAAGGCCAAGGCTAAAGGAGTCTCATTGCTGCTTCCTACTGATGTTGTGGTCGCTGACAAGTTTTCTGCTGATGCTAACAGCAAGGTTTCACTCACTTTTCTCCATTAGTGCACTTTAGTTTCACTTAGCAATCTGGAGAGAAAATAACTGAGTTATTTGGAATGAAAGAAAACATAGATAAAGAATGGGTTCAAATCAATTAATTGAGTTCAGATGTTTGTTCAAATTTATTTTTTTATTGAATCTTTGTATATGAAGGTTTTGCAGTTTAAATATATGTAAATTTTTGAAGTATTTAAGCATAAGCCACTTTATTTTTCAAGGCAAAACCAAACATAAAATGTACCCATTACACGCACAGCCTTAGAATTTCTTTCTTGTATGTAGCCTCAAGTAAATAAATGGGTTGTTAATAAATGAGAGATGTCTTGGATTTTCCCCAGAAGGTTAGCGCTACTGAAATTCCTGATGGGTGGATGGGGTTAGATGTTGGACCTGACACAATCAAGTCTTTTGGTGAAGCTTTGGATGCCACCCAAACTATCATATGGAATGGGCCTATGGGTGTGTTTGAGTTTGACAAGTTTGCTGCCGGGACTGAGGTATATTACATGTTTATTCAGCTGCATTTCTTAGATATTAGTAGATTGATGATTCTAAGACTTGGGGGTTTGTTGCCAGGCCATAGCAAAGAAATTGGCAGAGCTTAGCGGGAAGGGAGTGACAACAATCATTGGAGGGGGAGATTCTGTTGCAGCGGTCGAGAAGGTTGGGCTTGCAGAAAAGATGAGCCATATCTCAACGGGAGGCGGTGCTAGCCTTGAGCTGCTCGAGGGGAAAATGCTCCCCGGTGTTCTTGCACTTGATGATGCTTGATTGAGAGCACCTGGGGTTTTGTTTCTCTCATTTTCATTACTTTTTCTTGGCTTTCTCCTTTTGGTTTTTTACCCACCAGAGGTGGGTAGTATTAGGCTCTCTAAGATAGTAAGTGGTTTAATGTTTGAATAAACTTTGCAGCCAATTTTCTTGGCTTCATTTTTCAAGACATGTGGCTTTTGCACATCACACATCTGGTGTTTTTATACTCCAACAATAAATTCACATATATCTTTGAGTAGTGATATTCTCGGTTCAAGCTTTTTGATAGAATGTCCCCTTTGATGCGGATCAGAATATCTGTTTACAAGTTCTAATCACTATTGTAGGTCAAGATTAAAGAAGTCGTATGCAAGATAACTTGTAGTTACATATTCTAACTATTCTTGTGTTAAATAGGTCTATTAAAATACAAAGTGATTTGATTTTTCATAGAAAATCAAAGAGAAAATAAGCAGAGCAACTGCAATATTTTTTAGAAGTCCTAGTTTTGAAGTTTTGTAATAAATCTCACCATGTTGTGTATGACCGGTGTAACCCGTTTCTAAAATTTAATGGAGGTGCCACTACACGAATATGGGTCCTGAATCATATGAAAGATTTCTCCAAACTGTGTAAATATATTATTGTGTTGGTCCGAGTAAACCGTGTGTAGGGGGATGCCAAAGAACTTAGATGATACGACAATGGTTGGGTTTTGTAGTAGGGTGGTCTAGCCTATTCGGCCAGCACAAAGCTTTAATGAATAACGGGTCCATAGGCCGCGTTGTCATGTGTACCACCCCCCCCTCCGGCTTGTAGAGAAGAGGGTATGCTATCAATATCACACAATCATTTTTCTCGATTTTTCTCTTTCTTGAGACCTGAATTCCTTGAATCTAATAAGAAGTAATGTGGGTGGGATATTAAAGATGATGTGATAGGTAAACAAAAGGGTAAAAGGAAATTTTGAATCCTTAATAGTGCTAAATTTGGAAATGTAAAGAATCCAATAGGATTACCAAGAATGGAAAGTGTGAAGGGTCATAGAGGTTGAGGGAGTGTTTTCAAGGGTATACCCTAGCCAAACATAATTTTGGTTTATTCTGTCAAGATAGATAGCCGGCCAGAAGGACCAAAACTGTCTAGATATCCATCCACTGCACCAAAAGTGGATGAAACTTAATTGTAATGAGAGCAAGAATAGAGAACTTTAGAAAACATGTCTCTATATTTCATTATTTGGAGGAATACACAATGTTTTTAGTTTCTAAAAAGCTTCTCAAAGAGAGCCCCTCAAGATAGGGTCGTACGTACGGAGCTCTATGATTTGAGTAGTTAGGTAGCATTCTAGGCCTCAGTGGTACTTTTTACGAGTGCATTTGTACCCATCTTTGTGTGCTTTTTGTGCTTGGGGTCTAGTTACTAATGTCGGTGTACGAACTTCTTGTCTCTTCCCACTTTCTTTGCCTTTAGTTGCTTCCCCATTGCTAATACTATGTTGCTATTTTGTTTGTGCTCTTATGTCTACTTGGTGAGTTTACATACTTTGATTGTGTTGAGCAGGGTGTCCATTGAGAATGCTAGAGTGCCTTTAGTTTCCCCATTCCTTTTGTGTCTAGCATTATTCATTGAAGATATTACCTTGATTTTTGAGAAGAAATAAGACATGCTTACCGCACCTTGTCCAGACTCTAGTTTTTGTATAATGTTATTGGTTTTGTTGTTGTATCGGATGCACCTACCCCTAAATTGATAAAATAAAAACGATGAACACATATTTCTTACTATTATAATTTATTGTTTATGTTAGAATATTATGTTTCTTATTTGAACTTTAGACCTATATTAAGGGGCTGTTTGTTTCAGCCTCTTAATGGTTCAGATGTCTAAATGGTTAAAAGATTTGCCTCTGAATGGTTAACTATTATACAGAGTCTGAATGGTTAAGAGCTGTTATCTGAATTGATCAGACATTTGCCTCTGAATAGTTAAGCAATATACTAGCTCTTAATGGTTCAGACCTCTTACTGGTTCAGCACTTAATGATTCAGACCTCTTACTGGTTCAGCACTTACCCATTCAGAAGTTGCCAAACAGCCCCTAAATTTTACTTTTCACATTTTCAATTTCATTAACATATTTAAAATTTATATATATTTTTTGAAAATTAAATTAAATGAAATAAATGGTGGATGGCTTTGTGTGTGTGTGTGTGTGTGTGTGTGTGTGTGTGTGTGTGTATTATTGTTTTCAAAAGCATGAATATTCTCACAAACTATTACGGACCAATTGTTAAAACCTTCTACTCGGAATTATTTACTTCACCAATAGTTAGTTTATACTCCCTAGTGTTTGTACATTTTGATCTTCAATTGCCTTTAACTTTCATTGCATATTTAATAAAATGAAATAAAAATTTTCTAGTTTTCACAAGAAAGATACTAACAAAATTGTTTTTTGTACAGTTATCCAATACTTTCTCCGTCCCAAATTATAATGCATATTCACTATTCACAAGGTCAAACTTTATTCACTTTCTTTCTCTATTTTCGTTAGCAATTTGATAAAATAAAGTACTATTGTCACTACTAGTTTTGTAGATCTTTTGATGTAGTATTTTAATACTCCCTCCGTTCTAAAATTAAATTCACATTTGACTTTTTACGGTCTCCAATGTGACACTTTGACCATAAATATCTCAATTTTTATATAATTATATTTTATAAAAATTATATATTTCAAAATTATGTTTCAAAATGAATCTATTACTAATAAATTTATATGAAAATTCAATGTATTTTTCTTATAATATGATCAAAGTTTAAAAAGTTTGACTACAAAAGTCAAACTGGAAAGTTAATTTTAGGACGGAGGGAGTATGTAATTTTTATTTTTTAACTATATACCATTTGTCATATAAAATGATTTGTAAATAATTTCAGTCAAATATCGTAAACTGAAACAAGCATTATAAAATGGGACAGAGGGAGTACAATTGTTCTCTAATTGATGATCAAAGATTGCTCGGTTTCACTTCAAAAAGTCAAACTTGATAAATTATGAACTTTAATTACATAAAATTTGCATTGTAATTAATACAATGAAATAAAATTCTAATAATCTTTTACAAAATAAATTTAATAAAAAAAATTTTGAACAATTTCTTAGACTTTTAAATTGACGATCAAAGTTTCCATTGTTTGACTTGAAAAAATAAAACTGAAAAAGCACTTAGAACAAGACCTCTAACCTGTTTTTAAATAATTGTTTATTATGAGTTTTAGGAGACATTAATACCCAATACATGTAAACTCAATGTTAACTGTTTATTTGCATTCATTCAAAATCTAAATGTTCCTGCGAAACTCAACAAAATTTCAAAATTTTCAATTCATTTTAATTAGAAATTAGTATAAAAATAAAAAAAAGACATACACATCAAAAATTCTACTCCAAGTACAAAATAGAGATGACAAAAATATTTTCGTTTATCAAAAATCAATAAAAATATTTTTAAATGATGCAGATTGCAATTCTTTTTTGAAACGGAGGAAGTGAATTACAGTCACTTTTTTTTACAACTATAGTCTAAAGATATGATTTTTTTTGAAATTCTAGTCCACAATCATAGTCATTATTCTGTTGTCTGTCTAGCCGACATCAGAATATGTGACTAGACATAAAGTTAATGTTAAATTACATTTTTAGCAGTCAAAGTAACACCAACATAACAATCAAAAAAAGACTATTTGAGAAAGATACTCATAAGAGAAGGACCACCAAAGTAATATTTAAAATACTTTTTTTATTCATTTTAACGCTAATAGCTAAGATTAACATAATACGGAGTATTATAAAAGTACTCGTACTAGTGTTATAGTGTGGATTATTGGAGTAAAATGCAACTTCAAATTATTGATGTGAGTAGTGTATTCTGTATTGTAAGATTATTTTGTATGGTCCATCAGAGTTGGACCATTTGTGTAAATGTTTTCCTTTAATCTATTGGTTAGTTTCCATATACTGAATTTTAAGTTCTAACCGGACCACGATGCAAAAAAAAAAAAAAAACAGGCATTAACTGGTAAGTAGAAAGTGAGCATTAAGCATTAAAAGTTAAAACACAACACTACAGTTCACAGCAGAGCCAACTCATAAAACAGCAATGGTAGATTACACAACAAAAGAAGTGGAGAGATAGACATCCCCCCATAAAATGACTTCCAATGTGCACAGAAATAGAGATACGCCACGGTAAAATTGAAGTCGGAACTTCCCAAACACGGAGCTATCATATCTACAAAACCTCTCACCATGAAAAGATGGAACTGCAAGAAAGATGAACTGCACATATCAAACACAAACTAGTTTCAATAAGTCATTTGGTAAGGGTATGTTTGGTAAGGCTTAAAGTCCGTCCCACAATAATAGGGTCTTGAGAGGGCGTGTGTACGTAGACCTTACCCAGTAGAGTGATTTCCAAAGAGACCCAGACTCAAGCACCATAGGTAATCGCGTACGCAACTTGATCCCTATGTTTAAAACATAGAGCGGTTGTTTCCGGATGACCCATGATGGGCACCGAAAGTTGCATTGACTACTGCTACTTCACTATTAAAAGAATTACAGACAATTTAAAGAACAATTTTGCTTTATTCATACTCCAAAGCCAAAAGATTGTGAATATTTGGCTTTATTCTGCACCATTAATCAATATTCAAAACTCTTAACACTAATTACAATCATTGTTCCTAAGATACCCTTAGAGCCTAAAGTCTATTGCCTTGATAAATAGAAATTAAGGATGTTTTTAAAAATGAATAAAGGGAAATTGGAATATTGTATTATGTTATATTATGCTATTATTAGTTTTTTTATAAATATTAAATACGAGAGCGTGCACGCGCACGCACACACACACAAGTAATCTGCTAACATCCTCCCCCCATAACCCTCCAAAATGAAACTTCAAAGCTGACCTGAAGTGTCCCAAACTCTTGTGTCTTTGATACATAAGAGTCTGTCTCCATGCAACTAATATTGGCATAAACATGACCAACCTCAGTTTGACATTAAAAAAATTCTGAATCAAGTCAGTAGTCAGGTTTCACCAGCCTAGGGCAACTTTGTAAAGTATGCAGAAACATCTGGGGTAGTATGATAGAGAACCAGACCTTCATCAACTGTGTTAATTCCATGTTGGACTTTCAAGACTCTCTGAGAGCAGGATCTTCTTCATTGGAGACATGACCATTCGTTCTTGGGCTTCGTGATTGGGCATGTCTGTCACGGTGTGGAGAAACAGATCGGGCCACAGATCTGGATCGCCTTGCCCGCCTTTCCTTTGACGAGTCAATCACAGGGGAGAGAGATCTTGATAGTGATCTGGATCTCCTTGAAGAATAATGAGCATCCCTTCTGCGCTCCCTTTAGACATAGAAGCAAAAAAGACAAGGCAAATAAGGGATTTAGAAGCAGGAATATCAGCTCACCAACTAGCTAGTTTTCCTCTGAGCTGATTTGGTTGCTCAAGAGCAAGAGTAGGGAAAGTCAATATTAGTTAAACTACACAAGAAACCCAACAAATTACTATCAACACCAAAGAAACAAAATATGTGTTTATTCCCATGCAATATATGGTTATTGAATCACAGCCATTACCTATATATACTTTCAGCCTTGCAAAATTACATTTTGAAGCAAACATTGCTAAAAGGAAGGCAGAACTAAGACAGCTTCAAATTATCTTTGGCTCCTCGGGCAAATCCCAGCATATCTCAATCAACAAAAGTAAAAAGCTCATACATCTTTGAAGATGATTTCTTTCTTTGGCCACCTAAGCTCTAAATTCTTTCTCTAACTGTATGATATGCAACATGAAGAAATCAATTATAACTCTAATAAATACAAAAATTGTTGCTATTAATCAGTCCACACACCATTTTGATTGGTTTTATAAATACAAAATAGTATGCAAAGTAATTCTTGAATAAATATCCCGTGGAGAATCATACTGATAATTTGTGAGGTCTAGTCAAACGCAAAACTTAAAACTAAGAAGCTTTCAAGAATATGAGTGTGATTGAATTATAACATATGCTTATGGTCCATTTTTCATGTCTTCGCCAGCCTTTTACATCTATAAGTCTCTAAAAATCTAGAAGTTCCATATGGAAATAAATAACAAATTTATGAGTGGATCTACTGCACCAAATATATTGCTTATGATCTACTAAATTTAAAAAAACATAATTATGACTTATATAAGGGAATCAGAATACCACTGCTTTGCCTGAAAAGCACAGTAGCCTAGGAACAATAGAACAAGATAAATACAGGAAAAAAGAAGCCAACAAATAAGCAATTTGTATTTGAGGTCTCTGGCAGCCCAGCTACATGTCAAGAAGATCTAATACCCCAGAAAAAAAGCAAGACCAAACTACAATTTAGTTAAATAATTTCTTAAATATACTCCCTTTGTCCACATTGTTTCTTCTCGCTTTCCTTTTTGGTTTGTGCAAATTAAAATGACTTCTTTACCCCCTTCTTTCTT